TAATTTTCACACTTTTCTATGATTTGATATGTGGTATAAATATATGATTTTTATTATTATAAATTAGTTTTAATTCTATATCATAAGGTTTTAAATTCTTATTTGATTAAGAAATTTTTAAAATAACCAATTCACCCTCATCTTGGTTAGCCTTAGAGCTAATTCTTTAGGGTTTAACCTCCCTAACTAACTTTCCTGAAGATCCAATACATAAATATTAAAAGAGTAGGGGTGCAATGTTTATGAGAGATACTAGAATTTTTACATGGAACCCCTTAAAAGAGAAAAGGAGGGCTTGGTAAGAATCTTATCTAGTACCTACAAGCATCTTCATGGAATCTCTATGGCTCTAGGGAAGACTTATTCAGTAAAGATAATGGTTCTTTAATCATCACTTGGAGGGTGAAAATAAATTTGTGGATCTCTGACCATCAATAGGAGTGTGAAAATAGAGTTAAGGTTCTCTTCCTATAAAAAAGTCATGGTTCTCTACCGCATTGGGGAGGTGAAACAACATTTATACATGCTTCTCTGCCTTGTTGTGGGAGAAAAAGGAGATTCACTTCTATTTAGTGCAATACTTAGAGAGGGAGACTCCAAGAAGTGGACGTAGGTTGGGTTGACCGAAGCACTATAAAATTCAGTATGTTCTTTGTATTTATTTTTTTTCGCATTTTAATTTTCACACTTTTCTATGATTTGATATGTGGTATAAATATATAATTTTTATTATTATAAATTAGTTTTAATTCTGTATCAAGAGGTTTTTAATTCTTATTGATTAAGAAATTTTTAAAATAACCAATTCACCCTCATCTTGGTTAGCCTTAGAGCTAATTCTTTAGGGTTTAACCTCCCTAACTAACTTTCATGAAGATCCAACACATAAATAATAAAAGAGTAGGGGTGCAATGTTTATCATAGATACTAGAATTTTTACATGGAACCCCTTAAAAAAGAAAAGGAGGGCTTGGTAAGAATCTTATCTAGTACCAACAAGCATCTTCGTGGAATCTCTATGGCTCTAGGGAAGACTTCTTTAGTAAAGATCATGGTTCTTTAATCATCACTTGGAGGGTGAAAATAAATTTGTGGTTCTCTGACCATCAATAGGAGTGTGAAAATAGAGTTAAGGTTCTCTTCCTATAAAAAAGTCACGGTTCTCTACCGCATTGGGGAGGTGAAACAGCATTTATACATGCTTCTCTTCCTTGTTGTGGGAGAAAAAGGAGAGTCACTTCTATTTAGTGCAATATTTAGAGAGGGAGACTCCAAGAAGTGGACGTAGGTTGGGTTGACCGAAGCACTATAAAATTTAGTGTGTTCTTTGTATTTATTTTTTTCGCATTTTAATTTTCACACTTTTCCATGATTTGATATGTGGTATAAATATATGATTTTTATTATTATAAATTAGTTTTATTTCTGTATCAAGAGGTTTTAAATTCTTATTTGATTAAGAAATTTTTAAAATAACAAATTCACCTTCATCTTGGTTAGCCTTAGAGCTAATTCTTTAGGGTTTAACCTCCCTAACTAACTTTCATGAAGATCCAACACATAAATAATAAAAGAGTAGGGGTGCAATGTTTATTAGAGATACTAGAATTTTTACATGGAACCCTTTAAAAGAGAAAAGGAGGGCTTGGTAAGAATCTTATCTAGTACCAACAAGCATCTTCGTGGAATCTCTATGGCTATAGGGAAGACTTCTTCATTAAAGATCGTGGTTCTTTAATCATCACTTGGAGGGTGAAAATAAATTTGTGGTTCTGTGACCATCAATAGGAGTGTGAAAATAGAGTTAAGGTTATTTTCCTATAAAAAAGTCACGGTTCTCTACCGCATTGGGGAGGTGAAACAGCATTATACATGCTTCTCTGCCTTGTTGTGGGAGAAAAAGGATAGTAACTTCTATTTAGTGCAATACTTAGAGAGGGAGACTCCAAGAAGTGGATGTAGGTTGGGTTGACCGAAGCACTATAAAATTCAATGTGTTCTTTGTATTTTTTTTTTTCGAATTTAAATTTTCAAACTTTTCTATGATTTGATATGTGGTATAAATATATGAATTTTATTATTATAAATTAGTTTTTATTTCTATATCAAGAGGTTTTAAATTCTTATTTGATTAAGAAATTTTTAAAATAACCAATTCACCCTCATCTTGGTTAGCCTTAGAACTAATTCTTTAAGGTTTAACCTCCCTCAGTAACTTTCATAAAGATCCAACACACAAATAATAAAAGAGTAGGGGTCCAATGTTTATAAGAGATACTAGAATTTTTACATGGAACCCCTTAAAAGAGAAAAAAAACCATAGGGATTGTCCCAGCTTAAAGGAATCCCCCTAAATTGATAATTATTTACAAATACTACCCCTCCAAGAAGGACGATGCTTGTTCAATGTATCAAATACACATTATATGGAGCTTGTTATATTGTAGCAATTCTTAAAATAATTTTGATATGTCTATTTGGTCAGTAAGATTATAATCGATGGGAAAAATTGGTTAGAGGAACTGTAATTGGCATGAAATGGTGGTTAAATGGGTTGTAGTCGACAGGCAACAGTGATTAGAGGGACCATAGTCAGTGGGTAATAGAGGCCACATGAACTATAGTAAGTAGGTGGCAATGGTCATTAGGACCAAAATATGTGGGGGATGGAGGTTGATGGAACAATAGTAAGTGGGTGAGAGTTTGCAAAGGGACCAGAATTAGCAACAATGGTCAAATGGACAATAATAGGTGGGCAATGGAGGTTAGAAGGATTGTAGTTAAGTGATGATGGTTGGAAGGGCCGTAGATAGGCTACGATGAATAGAAGAATCTTAGTCAGCAAGCGATGAAGGTTAGAAGAATTATAGTTTGGCGGTGATGTTGAAACGACTATGGTCGAGTGACAATTATCAAAATAACCGTAGTCACTAGGGGACATAGGCCAAAAGTATTATAATCATGTGATGATAGTCGAAAGGACCATAGTCTGGTGGTAGTGGTTAGAAGGACTGTAGTCAGGTGATGATGATCAGAGGGATCATAGTCAGTTGACTATGGTTGGAAGGAATGTAATCACATGATGGCGCTTAGAAGGATGGTAGTCAATGATCGATGGAGGTTGAAAGGATCATAGTTAGGCAATGATAGTCAGAATGATTGTAGTCGGCGATCAATAGAGGTTGGAAGAACCGTCGTCAGGTGATAAATGTAGGAAGGATCGTCATACGGGATGATGGTCAGAAGGATTGTATTTGGACGATCGTGGTTGGAAGAACCATAGTCGATGTGTGATGGAGGTTAATAGTACCTTAATCGGGTGATGGTCGAATGGACCATAGTTAGTGGGCGATGGAGGTCTAAAAGATAGTAGTCAAATGATGTCAACTCATCCCTCAAACAAAGGCCAGGGATATAAAAATATGCTAAAGAGATTTCCAAACTTCAGAAGACTAGTCTCCTTTATGTATATTGAATAATATAGAATGTTCCATCAATTTCTGGTGAAGGATGGAGATTCAGTATTAATCATCTGTTTAACAGATGTTTGAAAATGTTTTGTTGCTGGAAAAAGATCCAATGGTAACTATTAAATAGTTGAATGTCCTATGATGGTAGGTGGTCGAAGTTTAGTGATAGTCGGTGTTCGAGAAGAGATCCAACTGGTGGTGCTTGAGAAAGTAAGAGAGATCCTTCATTTTCCTTCTTTTTCTCCCCCTCCCTTTGTGAAGAATGAGGGGTCTTTTATAGATTTTTGGGAGTGTTAGGCAAGTAAATTGGGAGAAAATCAAGGTCATGTTGGGAATGTTTCAATGGATGACTGATATAAACTCTATCAATCATGGATTTTTTACCAAGTATTTGATTATCTTAGTGATAGCAAATTTTGGTGATATTGGTCTTGTTGGATTGATCTCATCGAGCCGCTCGTTTTGAGTATAACCATGTTAGATTTGTATATCAGTTGGTCATCTAATTACTATTTTGAAGCTTTCAAGTAGGCTTCGGGTCCTTGATTTGGACCTATTTTTGGGTCAGGGATACTATACTCGGTCAGCAGTGTTCAAAGGGACTGTGGTTGATTGGCAAAAGGTTAGATGACGACAACTAAAATGATTTTTAGGGACATATCAAGCATTAATGTGTCAGTGCATTTGCTTTGACATTCAACTAAACAAAATACATACATTACTAAGTATTTTAAATACATTCTAAAATATATATTTATACATAATCTATAAAAAAATAATTTACACGAATGGCCATTTAGATGAAAAGCTCTTCATATGGGTGTCAAAATGGAGTAACATTTTGGGTGTAGCTCTGACTTGAAATCGACCCAACTCAAATTTGGTCAGCATAAACCCAACCCGTTTAATAAATGGGTAGTGGACATACACCTAACCCACCAACCAGCTAACAACCTGAATGACTCAAACTCGATTTGAAAAACCGTTATGATTATTTTATTTTAAAACTTGTTAATCATAAATTTAAAGTCAATTGATGTAAAATAAGATCATACGAAAAAAAAAATTAAACATATCATTTTCAGATTAAAATCAGATTGGTAGTTAAATGCGAACCCAACCCCTTCGATAAATTGGTCACAATACTAGACACGAACATAAATTTGATCGTTTATTAAATGGATCAGTATGAATCAAAATTTGTTGAGTTATATGTGGTCCCTAACTCTCCTGAGCTTTGATATTATTCATCATGGAAGTGGAAAATAAAGTTTATCAAATTAATAATTTTGATTAATATTACTTAACATCATAAAAATCAATTAACCTCCAAAATTAACAAATTATAAGTACACGCGATTTAATGCAACATGTGCCTCACTCCAAACTTGTTCCCGCGCTTCATAACTTCCCACCCAACTCCGCCCTTCGACATCAACCAAAATTACACCATTAGCCTCAGCTGGCCAAATCGTCCCCACCTTCTGATGTCACCGCCATCCGTAAACAGCATATAAAGGCAACGTACTCGCAATTAACGTCTCCAGCTCACTCGCAGTCCGAGCGGAAGCGATAATGGCTGCCTGTTCTTCTTCTTCCCACTACTACCACTTCCTCTTCTTCTACCTTCTACTTGCTTTCGCTGTTAGCACTGCCACCGCCGCTTCTTGCTCGGCTGCTGACCGAGCTGCGCTTCTCGAGTTCCGATCAGCCCTCTCCGACCCCTACATCGGTGTTTTCTCCTCCTGGACCGGCAGCGACTGCTGCTCTCAATGGTACGGGGTGTCCTGCGAACCGTCGACCGGCCGCGTCGCCGATCTTATTCTCCGCGGGGAATCCGAAGACCCAATCATTACACGAGCCGGACGATCCGGCCTCATGACCGGCCAGATCTCGCCAGCCATCTGCCGCCTCAACAGCCTCTCATCTCTCATCATTGCTGACTGGAAGCAGATCTCTGGCCCCATTCCCCCTTGCATAACCACTCTGACCTCCCTACGCATTCTAGATCTCGTCGGTAACCGCCTATCCGGCCCTTTACCTGCCGACATTGGCAAATTCTCCCAACTCACTGTCCTCAACGTCGCCGACAACCAGATTTCTGGCTCAATCCCCAAATCCCTAACCCAGATTACAGGATTAATGCACCTTAACCTCGGCAATAACCTCTTAACCGGTTCGATCCCTTCCGACTTCGGCAATTTGAAAATGCTTAGCAGGGCTCTCCTCGGCCGGAACCAGCTCTCTGGCGTGATTCCGAACTCAATCAGTTACATGAACCGCCTCGCCGACCTCGACCTCTCCGATAACAAGATCTCGGGGTCAATCCCAGCATCTTTCGGATCGATGCTGGTGCTCTCCTCTCTCTACCTCGACAGCAACCTCCTCACCGGCGGGATTCCGGCGGAGGTTTTGGGGAGCAAGGGATTGGGTATTCTGAATCTAAGCAGAAACGGCCTTGAGGGTTCGATTCCTGATGCGTTCACATCGAGATCGTACTTTACGGCGATGGATCTCTCGTACAATAAACTTACCGGAGATGTGCCAAAGACTTTGCTAACGGCGGCGTTCGTTGGCCACCTTGATCTAAGTCATAACCATCTGTGCGGTCGGATTCCCACGGGTTCGCCGTTCGATCACCTCGAAGCGGCGTCGTTCTCCAATAATGACTGTCTCTGTGGCTGGCCGTTACAGGCCTGCCAGTGATCAAATTGCAACGGTTGGGAAATCTTGGCCGTTCGCTTGGGATTGGGTGTCGTTGATGTCTGTGGCTATGTACTATGTGCACTTTATGCGATTTTATTTATTATTATTATGTATGAAACTCAAGAAAAGAAATATAATTAATGGAAGGGATTAAGTGGGTTGTAGTGCACGTGGAGGTGTCAGTGTTAAATACTCGGTTTGCTTTATGATTTGGGAGAAAAAAGCGAGAAGGGTTATTATAGTTCCATGTTCGTTTTGAATGCTTCAAACCTTGCAGAAAATATGTGAGCCAGCTTGAACGTTTCATGCGATTGAACCAGTGATTTGGGTCCCTTAAACTCAGTTTCATTTGGTTCAAATTGATTAAGCCAGTATAAGTTTAGGGTTCTTGAGAGCTAGTATACGTTGTTCAAATAACCACCAACAAATAGTCAATGTCATACCTCAGTAAGTTTGCAACTTCTTATACTAGGTTTTATTTATGATAGTATTTTTACGGTTTTTTTAGTACAACAATTTCATGAAATAAATTTTTTTACTAAAAAAATTGTTTTAGAAAAAAATAAGAGTTGTCCTAACGAAACTTGGATTAGCAACTTATTTCGATAAGTTGGTGAGCCCTTCTAATATGTTAGTGTACCATTTTTTTTATCTTATATTTTAATGGATATATTTTAGGCTATAGGCTTCATGAATTAATATGTATTTTGTTTGATATGGCCTTCTCTTTTGTGCTAAGAAACCAATAGGTTATTTAGTGGACTTTGCTTCCCATATACCATTCCCTTTTACATTTCTAGCTAGTGAAAATAAATCCCAAATCCCCTGTCTCTCTCCATGTTATCAGGGTTTTCAAGCTTCTCTCTCTCTCTCTCCCTCCCTCCTTGGGCTCTTTCTCCCTTATATTTGATTTGCTTAAACCTTCTAAGTCTAGAAAGCTTTGCTCGATTATCATTGTGGATTTAACTGGATATAACATCGCCCATAATTACTACGTCGACTATGCGATAAAATCACTAAGTCGTCCAAATTAGTACATTGAATTTGGTTGAGTGGATTAATAAATTATTCACCCATAAAGAATACTCACATGAAGTGCACTTTAGCTTGCTAACTATACTGATCCAAGGTGCCTGTTAATTGGTATGTGGATTTCACTTTTTTCGCCAGAGTGCCCTCCAACTCATTGTGGTTTGATGATAACAAATATAATATCAAATAGTTTAGTAACTGTTCAAAGATTAAGGTACAACCAAAATCATGATAAGGATGACCATTCATAATATTTGATAGGAGCCTTTATATCTTAAAGATGGACTCAACAAGAAGAATTAATATGTTATAAATTTGTAAATGAAGATTTTAAGAAATTAGCTTAATCTGTGTAAATTTTCTTACGGTTTAATTTTGTGTTTCATTCTAGATATCTTAAAATTAAGTGATGAATATAATAAAGATATAAAAATATGTAATATTAAATTATTAATTTAATTAAATTATGAAACTCATTATAAGTATTTAAAAAATGTTAGGACCTAATTTGAATTCTATTATACATGTAAATTATAAATTATATTAGTACACCTTATACTAGCTTTATTAAAATAGGTAGATAAGTTCAGTCACTTTAAAATCACTTAATTATATTTGGTGATTTCACCCCTTCTTTATCATTAGGAAGCCCTATATGGCTTATTTTATTATAATAGTTGGTTGTTCAAATTCTCACTCTTAAGAAGATTAGGGATATGGTTTCTTGGGTGAATGGTATTACGTATTATAGATTATACCATTCAGTAGATTGTGTAGCTATTTGGATTATTATGGTGTGAATTATAAAATTTTATTCACTATACTATGTGGAGGAGAGTGTAAGAGTGCAAAATATATTAAAGATTTCACTAAAAAAATAAGAATAAATCGAGCATATATTTAGTAGCCTTAGGAGAGAGTTTGATGATCTTATCTCACTTCTTTTTATTCATATGTGGGAGATTATATTTGTGCTATTCGAGACTCAAATATCTATTATAGTCTCCCCACTTTCATAAAATTTTAGTAGCATTATCCTGTGGGTCTCCGAAAGGGATACTCATGGGGGTTAAAATGAAAATAGTATAATTAAACTATTCTGTAGGATAATACGGTTGCATTCCTTTACATTCTACGCAAGTAGGCCATTAAAGAGTAAATTGAATCATACATCCAATTACCCATGGAAAATAATAACTTTCACCTACACATCTCGATAAAAAATCATATATATGATTCAAAGAGTCACGAGATTTATTCCATTTGATACATTAGCTTGAATGAGGTTTATTTAATGTGGGTATTTGCTTCCCATGGGTGCAAGGCCCTGTGGTAAATTATATCTTAAGCCTCAACATAATAATATTCTTGATTAAGAACATTATTTTATTCTATTCACGGTTTGGCACAGTGGGAATCCTAGGTTCTTTTAATCCAAAAGAGGTAGGCTCAATGGGCCATTTAACACACACAAAGATCATGCAATCATTTGGTCGATTTGAAGAAATCAAGAGAGAAGAAATCACCATAAGGCATAAATGGGAGAAATATGGAAGAGATGTTATTAGTGTCATGTATTTAAGTAGGAATTATAGCCTCCCAAGAATGAAGAGCTCACCCAATGATAAGGCATGGAGTCATATATTCATGACTCCAACCTTAAATCATAAATCTGTAGAGGGTGTACTGAAGTACTTAACCCTAGATCCAGCTAATATAAGATGATGAGGGGACTTATAACTTAAATACTACTATGGACTTAAAAAATCTCAACTTAGATTTACCATGTTACTAAAAAATGGGTACTAACTAAAACTTCCCATATTATTTTAAACTTATGCAGTCTAATATTATGCAAATATTAGAGTGGTTGGGAGTTATAGAAGAGGAATGGTCCTCAGTCCAACCATGAACTGTACTATGTTAATGCTCTAGTAAACTATACCTCTATGTAATAAAATAAAATCTTGATGCTTGAATAAGGACATGTATGAAGGGTAAGGCTAATTAGAACTAGCCGAGAGCCATTGTAAAGTGGACTAGGTTTTTAATACAAGTTGTACTTTGAAAAAGAGACCGAAGAGAAGCCATGTATTAAGTTTTGAAAACATGGTTTATTTTAGGCCATATATTGCTTTTATCTTTATTAACTATATTTCATCTTTTATAAAAAAATATAAAAACCAAGAAACCTAACGTGAAAACTTCATTTGAGCCACCCCAAAATAAAATAATAATAAAAACTTCATAAAAGCAAGTAGTTTGTAGTGCATAAATTAAGTAAACACATAAATTATCTAAGAATAAATAATAAATAATAGTCCAGAAGAGCGACTGGGTTCTAGAATACACTCCTAAAAAAGAAAAATAGATTGGTGAGCTATACCATAATTATAACTCAGCCTAAAATTACAAATGATTAATGAAATGATATGTGGGCTCTAGATTAATCTTCATATTTGATCTGCTGCCTTTTGAAATACCCACATACCTATATAGCTTTCTAATGGGGGTGGTGGAGTAACCTAAAGAATTATAACAGTAATTTTTGGCTCTATCAATCCCTAAATATTGCTTAGGCTTTTTTCAGTATAAGAATTATTAAAAGTTCCCTTAATATACACAAGAATATGTGTCAAATCAAGTAATATAATGATAAAGCAGAGTATCAATCCCATGGGGATGAATGTTTACATGCAAATAGTAGTATTGCCTATTATAATTATAATAATTAGCATACTCAGTAAAAATAAGTTTTGGCTGAGATTAAATCACTTAGTTTAAAATTAATAAAAAAAATTAAATAAAACACTATTTGTATAAATATTTTGTATTGATGGAATATAAAAACAATATGTTTCCTACCAATTCTCTTTTATATTGATGCTATTCATAGCATATGCATCACCGACCGCTCAGTCATGTATGAAAATATAAAGGGCAGATTAAACTTTCTAACCTTAATACCATTATAAACTCTCATAGTCTGTCACCCCATAAAAATTTTAGAAGTGTTAGTAAATCATATATACAACAAAAACTCTCTCATTATAATTCATCTCTATAAATTTGGCATATGTTAAGCACTATGCTAATGCTTACATCAAACCAATCCAATATACTTGGTTGTACCTGCTTTCATATTCATATGCTTCATATTACACCTACTATTAACAATACATATGGCCACTATGTGTATTAAATAAAGATCTTATATATTAAAAATATCATTAAATTATTAATGATGAAAATTCATTAGTATTTCATATTCCATTTACACCATCAATCCAAAATTATAGAATTAAGCTAGACATGATAAACAAGTGAAGCAAACTCATTTTCATTAATTACATAAAAGAAATAAAACATGGCTAAAACAATATCATCATATTATTTTAATGATCTCCTCTACATTCCTCCTTGAAGTTCTAAAATTATTCCCATAAATAATGACCAAACACTCTTATGATGTGGATCTAGTGCTCCCTAAATTCTCTTAGTTGTCACTCCTAAGGAAATGGTAGGGAATTACTATGAAGATTGAAATTAATTAAGTAACTGAAATTTCTTACTAACATTACAAATAAACTATTTATATATAAATATTGAAAATGAACTCTGGCATCGTGGTGCTCTAGACACTTGTAATGCGGCATCCATTAAACAAACTAACACCACAACACAAAAGAATTTTTCTCCTCTATGGGGCTTGGTGATGACGACCCGCTATTTAATAAATTGATGCATCGCTTCACTGGCAAATCGTGTCTTGGTTGGTTATAAATATAGTGCTATAGCACTACTAATGGTTGAGCATTATGAATTCAAGTGGCACTCCCCTTAGCTTGGCGGCATTGGAAATTGGTGTCGTGGTGCTATGTGGACAAAGACTGGCCTTTACCGCACTAACTCCTCCAACACTGCAACCCTATCTAACAAATACTAGGCATCTCCATGTTCATATTAGGTGCTCCAATGGTGTCAATGATGGTGCCATGGCAGTATAATATTGGATGTTGTAATTTTGTATAATACTTGGAATTTTATGCCTTTCCTATATTTCTCATGCATCAAACAGCTACAAAAAAATGATTTCACTGATAATTTAACATATAAAATATAAGATTTATTACACTCATCAGCTTCCTAACTAAAATTATATTTAAAAAAGAAAATTATATAAGCTGCCTATAAAATTAGAGATTAACACAATTATAATATGATATTTCTATTCATATCCATACCTATTTATTAGGACCATATTCCAAGAGCTTAGTAATCCTCACAGTACCTATTAGAGAGTTCATTTATACTAATTATGACATTTTATTTGCCCTTTGGGGATGTGGCCACCTATATAAGTTAT